ATATATACATACAACGAAATTCACGAATAGCACCCAACTGCACTTTTGCAAGTCATGCAGATTCCCTGGGACTTGCAAAGGTGCATAGGAGGAATGAGTTCTGATGGAGGCTGCCTCAAGGACTTTTCCAAAAATTCTATGTTTCATTGTCTTGTCTGGCGGAAGCAGTAGAATTCATGACCCCTCCTTTGCTCCTATATACATCTTAGATTTGCTCAATGGTGTGGAAGAACCCTTGTTGCAGATTTGTGATGTCACAGAGGGCTTTAAGGGTGAAAGCAAAATCCCAGTTCCACTTGTATTGGATATGGAACCATATTACTAAGTCTTGGCCAGGGATACTAGAACGGGTTGCTGAATTTTTGGACTAGCTAATATAGGAGAAGGTAAAGTAAGACACCTTGACTTATTTTTAAGGGGAAAGGTGGGTGAAAAGTATTTTAAATAAATAAAATTGAGAGAACGGCATAATTACAGGTAACATTTGGAGTAGGCATCCACACTGTATATTTGCTTCTTTCCTGTCTGATCCTTTGGGATGAAGAATAGGCTATCTTTGCAGTGTTCTTGACTGTGGCATTGAGTTCAATGCCAACTGTTCTGTTGTGATTTTCTTAACGTTGCTTTGATTCACAGCAGCATTTCCTTTTCCTCAGAGTGTTTTGCATGCTATAAAATTTCTGTGGGTGACAAACATATAGTGGTTTTCTGCTTCCTGGGTCTATGACTTTCCATCAGGCATGTCTTTGTTCACAGGTACACTGTTGGATTATGCCAAAGGAAAAAGAAGAAACAATAACATCTTCTTAGGAACTGTGTGGAACTGTAGATAATCCATCTGCAGCTTTCCTATAAGCTAATATTTGGTTATTTATTATTCACAAAATGTTCCATGGCAGCTTATGGGATGTGAAATAATAACAAGAAGGCAGAGCAGTGTTTAATTCCCAAAGTCCAACTGAAACAAATAAACAGAATTCACTTTTCTCTGAAAATCTCACAGGAAAGAGTCTGGTCCACCCTCCCTTGGATAGGCACTCCGTTTAGGGGCAGCCATTCAATTGATTTCTCTGTCCGCTGTTGGCATTACTGTTAGAAAAGTTAGCCTTGGTGGAGTGGATTGCTTATCAGCTCTTGTGAATCAGCTTTCCTTCTCTGCAAATCTTGGCAACCTGCCAATAATTATGGATACAAAGGGAAAAGAAAAGGTGCAGCTTATTACTGGAGTTGAGAAACTTCTTTTCTTATCACCTTTTTCTTAGCATCTCTGTTCTCCATATGAAGAAGAGAGGGAAGAATGCCTTGGTACTTAAGATGGGACAAATCTTGAATGACACCATGTGTTCATATGGGGGGAGGAAGGTTTTAAAGAATTGCAGTTTTAAAAAGCAGCAGTATTGTTTGCCATCAAATATTAATTAATTAGATTTTTACCCCGCCCCTCTAGACCATGTCTACTCGGGGCGGCTAAATAGAAGGAAGTGCAGCAAAGAACCCAGATTATTGAAGGCTTTCCACAGTTACCAGGAATTAAGCTCTGCAAAACCCAGTAGGCCTTCCATTTCCATTAACATGTATCTGGTTACACTAATTGTTACAACTTCTGGCTGGGATCTAGCATTTCCTTGTGCATACTTCCATGTTTGGAAGGAACACTCTTGATGACAGAAGGGTGTGTGTGATTTTTCATGGATTTTACTTTTAGTTGCTTGAAAAAGCTGAGCTGGAGCATTAGAAGATACCCTCTGAATGGTGTGGAACAGCCATTCTCAACTTTTAAAAAACCCCATGGCCATAAACACAGCATAAAAGAATCAGGATTGTATAAGCAAGTTAATGAACCTTTTAAAGCCGTGTGAAGAATTTTTTCCAGTCTGTGGACCCCTTCAGATATGCCAGGGAGGTCCTAGGGGGCCATATGGCCCCCCGTTGAGGATGACTGATGTAGAAGATGGTGCTGCAGGAGAAGGGGTGTCACTGAAAGGGCTCTCCCTTTCTTCAGGAAGAATTTCTGCTTGAGATCAGTTCCTTCAGTTCCTGCTTTGAGGAACTTTAACACAGAGACAGAGTCTATATTGCCACATCTGTAAGGGTGTTGTGAGTCCGTATGAAACCAATGTTCATTCTCTAATGTTTCTGTCATGTTTTTGTCTTTTCCCGTAGACATGGGGATATGCTGTTCCTTTTTCCTTCAACTCCAGCTGGTTCTTCCTCTGAGAACATGGACATCTCAGTTTCTCAAGGTGCACGCCAAATCAGTGCTCCCCAGGTCATAGAAGATGAAATTGATCAGTATTTAATAAAACAAGATGGGAAGATTTACAGAAACCGAGACCAGCAACTGTAAGTATCACTGTTCTGGCATTTCAAAATTCCTCTTCCATATAGTTTGTCATGATGCGTCTCCTTGCTTATGTATGGGGTTTTACTATTTATGTCTCTCTCTCTCTGTTCTCCAACCATATAGAATTAATCACATAGAATTAACTTAAACTCTTAGTGTTCAACTTGCAGTAAAGGCAAATGGATGATCAAAAATGCTCTCTTGGAAACTCAGCTGCATACAGTATTTCAAGAAACCTTTGCTATGGAATATCACAGAGTCTATGTAGAACTCGTGACTAATACATTCAGAATAGTATGCTCAGTTCCATGATGATAGTTTCACAACAAATTAATTGGTTTTGTGGATTTGTAAATTTAGATGTCCTTAAAATTGCATACAAAATGTTGCACTACTTATTCACCAAACTATGTTGACAGACACTCTATTTTTGACTGCTCTTGACTGATTCATATGTGTTATGGGCTTTATTTGCTTTCAACATTTATGGCTAGTAGAATGAAATAGCAACTTTATATGCACTAGCAAGTGATTATTCCTTTAGTCACCTATTTTTAATTTGTGGTACCTTAGTAGTGTTATATCGGAATTGGGGTCAAAGCACCAGGCACTAAGACCGTCTGATTAGCAGGAATGAGATATAATCTGCTGTCTTCCCCATCAGTCTTCTTTGCTGACATTGAGTTTAGTATTGTCCTTGCAGTAGCTGTGAAAAAGTGAGTTTCCCAGCAATAAAATTTAGACTCAGTAAAACTTTTAGTTTGCAAAACCTCAGCAGGGCAGTTGATTGACAGGACCTTTTGGAGGGTAAGTAGGAAGTAGATTGATGAACATGATATCAACCATAGACAATTATGAGCTGTTCTTTTCCTAATTCACAATACTAGGGGGCCACAGAGACTGGCAAAATGTTAGGAAGAACAACCTTCAGAACACGGCGTAAGAGCCTGAAAAACCCACAACAACTATTAGGGGGCTGTTTGATCTTAAAAATGGTTAAGACCTATTAGCATTATAGAAAACCTGTTTCTGATGGAGATGAACAGTATTACAACTGATTTATGGGCCACTGTAGCAGTCTGCAGGTTTGGTCTCTACTTAAATGTGTGTCTAAGGAGCTGTTACAATATTGCATACTTTTTGAAATTATACCACTGTGTTAGTGCTGCAACCTGGCTTATGCCTTTGTCTGAGTATTCATATTTAGAGGCATAAGACAGGTTGTAGCACTAACACAATAGTCTGAGAATTCATATTCATATTCTGTAATAAATAATTACAGAAAAAAGTAAATGGAGCAACTCTCATTTCAGCCAAACTTGCAGTTAGCCACAAAGGCCAGAAAACAACATAGCACAGGCTTAGCTTGCTATATGATTTTGGAATCTGCCTTGATTTGTCTTCTAAATCTTTGTGCCGCTTTTATCCTTCTGTGAATTAAGTGCAGCATTTCAGAGACATTGATGTTTTAGTATATCTCAGTGATGCTGAGACTCCAGTAGGGAGTAGTTCTAGATAACTATATATTTCTTTGCTGGTGCCTTCAAAGAAGCTTGAAGAATTTCATGGATGTGCTGAAAACACCCTAGAGATCAGGACATTGGGAGAAGGGGCATTATACCCACCTGGTGGCCCTTTGTTCACTGTAGCAATCAGTTCTGAAAGTGGACATCTCTATTAGTTCCAACTCTCCAGAAGGCTAACTTAAACTTTTAAAATATACAGTTAATCTTAAAACAAAATAAACAAACAAACAAAAAAGAACCCTGGCTTCATGTTGTCCTTTTAATGATTTTTCCAAGCTCAGGAATCATTGCTTCAGTGAAGATAATGAAGCAGAAGCATTGTCAGACTCTTCAAAACAGTAGTTGAGGGATAAAAAAATTGTGCTAGTGAAACCATCAAAGACAAAACTGCTCTTTTATTATAAGTTATCCTAATGTTTGCTAAATACATTCTGAGAGAATAAAGACATGGTGTTGTTGCTGGGAATACTGACACACTGCCATTCATGAATGAAGGAACCAAGAGTGGGGCCAAAGAACCTCAAATTATTCTAGAATGATTATTTGTGAGTGTTGAGCAAAGAAAGCTTTGCTACATTAAATTAACAGTGCGCTGGCTCATTTATTTCTTATTGTTAAGTGGCAAAAGAATGCCACACTGTAGCTTTCATACAAAAAGAAACAATCTGTCTATATTGCAAAACAAGACCCGAAAAAGCCAACAACACACTCATAATGTCTTACTACAATGCTCTACATAGAGTTTCATATATCTAGAGGTAAATTTAAAAATACCTCAATGCAGTAATTTAGTACAGTAATTTAACATGTTAAGCGTTACAGAAAGTGATGTCAGGATCAGTTCAGGATGATCTTTTTAAAGTCTGATTTTGCCAGTCATTTCATTTATCAGTTTTGTTAATTGTGTAAAATTGTATATAATAAGATACTTTTCAGCTGTAACTGTAAATGTAACTGATGATTTTTTTCCCCTCTTTATACAGATGTCGACATAGCCCATTGGGTAAATGTGTGCACTGTGTACCATTAGAGGTAAAGAGTTAAACTAAAATTGTTATGGTGATATTTTACTGAAAGCCAGTGCATAATAGATAAAGCATAAGACTAGGACTTATGAAACCTAGTTCCAAATCCCTCTTGACCAAGGAGATTCACTAATAGGTACCAGTGATAAACCATTCCTTGATCATTTCATGTATCCGGAAAATGATTAGGGTTATTAAAGCTGGAAGTGGCTTAATGGGATATATTTTGTTGATTAAATATTTTTATATATGTAGATGTTTTAATAACAGCCATTGAGAGGACATAACTGAAGCAGTAATGCATCTTTGCTATGCTGATAGTAGCTGAAGAGGCTAAACAAGTCCCTTGGATATATCTGTCTGGGCAGGACTGGGAATTATCTAGCTTATGACATCTGTTTTTCTGCTGCAGTGGATTTAACAGGGTATGTTACTAAAGGTTCAGCCAAACATATCTGCATCTTGTATCTCCCCTTGCATTGTGGGTCTCTTTTTCCTTTTTAGAGCTGCATCTTAATGCAATTTATTGTATATTTTTGCATTCTGATTTGTTGCTGTTGTTGTTAATGCCTTTGTGCACTAACAGTGCTGTAACATTCTTCTTGGTTATGCCCAAAGTTATCCAGTTCTGTTTAATCAGTTAGCTTTTAACTATGCCAGCAGAGCAGCAGCAGCAACAACAGAAGAATATTATACCCATGTGGCAGGCTGAGTTTCTGAAATAATTTTGAACTAAAACTCCTTATTGTATGAGGACACTGGAGAAAGGGCCCCACTATTACTGTCACAGTAATAACTGATGAGAAAGAAGAGCACAAAACATCCTAATTGTTTCCACATTGAATGCCAGGAAGGAGTTTGGACTAAAACATCAATTTGTTCAGTTATCAATGTATTATCAAGCAGGTGTCTGACCCGGTTTTCCTTTGTGTATTTGGGTTTTTGGCAGCCTTTTGATGAGGATTATTTAAACCATCTGGAGCCTCCTGTGAAGCATATGTCATTCCATGCCTACATCAGGAAACTGACCGGAGGGGCAGACAAGTAAGAAACCTGCACAGTTTCTGCCGGGGAATCTCTATAGAGCTGATAAAATAAAATGTGAAACATTTGAAGGCTATTTGTAGAACAAAATTAATTCACTTCAATCAGTAAGAGGATAGTGATTTTAAAGCCAATTTTGCAGATAGTTTGGGAAAAGAATGTCGCAATTATTTTCCTCCTCTGACTGGCAGATCTTAAATTCCTTTCACTTAGCCCACAAATTTATGCAGGTAGCAACATTTTTGTGAAAGTAATAACTTTATTTAAGCCACTCATTGGTTATCTTACCAATGTAATGCAAAACTAAAGGCCTCTCCTTTAGCATACCAGGCTGGAAGCAAAATCCTTGCCCCTCATTTGTTAGAACATACTGAACACTGTTCCACTCATGAACATACATTTCATGGTGCTTTTCCACTGGAAGGATTTTACTTACAGACATGCATACATATGAATGTCTAAAATATAGACCTCATGCTAAATATCTGAAGCTCATTGTGAGAAAAGCAGTATTAGATGCTACAGGAGCTGATGTTTATCTTTCCTACATTATAGGTTTGATATATCTAAGTCCAGATTTAACTGCTATCTGCTTATCTAACATATATATGGGTTTTTGGCAGCCTTTGGGTAAAGTGGGCAGCATATAAATTAAATACTGTATATTCTCTTGAATGAAAGGAGAGGCAGGTTGGCTTCTGGAGTCCATTGATAGTTTTCTCCCCAGGTTTACTCTTTGGACTGTGCCCTTGAGCCCTTGAGCCTGATGAGAGGTTATTGTGCTGCTAAGTATAAGAACTTCTCCTATTATGTCACATGATTATTTTTTCTGTTTAGGGGAAAGTTTGTTGCCCTTGAAAATATCAGCTGCAAGATTAAATCTGGATGTGAGGGACATCCCCCATGGCCAGAAGGCATTTGTACCAAGTGCCAACCAAGCGCCATCACACTCAACAGGCAGGTAAGGCCAGCACCTGCTGCTTTGGAAACTTCAGGATAGCAGAGGCATTTTCACTTTTGTTTGGTTTTAGAAAGTGTGGCTAGCTTGGATTGCAGAATGCTTTTCCTTTCACAATGGTTTGGTTAGCAAATGTTTGTCTAACACTTTCCAAGTTGACTGGAGAGTATTCTAGAAGGTTTTCACCACTGAGATCTGATGGTTATTGTGGGTTTTTCAGGCTCTTTGGCCGTGTTCTGAAGGTTGTTCTTGCCGGCATCTTCAGAGGACTGGAGTAGGAAAAGAGCATGGACTGATTTCCTACTCCTGTCCTCTGAAGATGCTGGCCACAGAGACTGGCGAAACGTTAGGAAGAACAACCTTCAGAACACGGCCAAAGAGCCCAAAAAACCCACAACAACCACTTGACTGGAGAGCTTTTTTTGCTCTGGGCATGAGGAAAGAGAACACTTCTGAGTTAATTTAAGATTTCAGCAGTAAAGTTACAAAGGAAAGCAGAGTGCTTTGTGAAAGGCTATTCTGGGCCTTATTTTCTGAGATCTACACTAAAGCTGTATTGAGGAAGTAGTATGATTTAATATTTCTTGATCAAGCCTCAGCCTTCTTGCTTCTTCCTCTCCATTTCTCTCCCCTGATGTAGGTATGAGAAGATTTGAAGATTTTGCTTCTGTTTTCCACTACGTGTAGTCATTAATTTGGGAGGTTAGGAGTTAGAGAGTGTTACATACAGCACTGATGTTACCTGTCTGTCATGGGTTTGGAGGGAAAGTTCCATCCTATGGGGAGTGGAAGGCGGGACATCAGGAGGAGGGGCTGTACTGTATATATATGTGGAGCCTGTGTGGAGAAGTTAGGAGAGCTGAGAGGAGAAGCTGGGAAGAAGAAGCTGGAGTGGGAGTCTGTGTGTCAGACAGGGTACTACTCTGTGTCAGTCAGTACCTACCTGATAGGTTCAGGTGTCTTTATGGGTAGCCAGAACTGATAGGTTCAGGGTCTGTGCTTTATTTAAAGGTGTTCTGTGTGAACCAAACTGGTGTATGTATGATTGAGACTAAGCCACGTTACTGTATCTTATTCACTTGATCATTTTATTTTCCCTGTGTGTTATTTAAATAAACCTTATTCCTTTGTTTGTTAAAAATCCATTCCTGGTCTGTGTGACTCCTTACAGGGAATGGTTGGTGGCAGCTTAGTGAAAGTGTGGCAGATCCCAGTAGGGATAGTGAGATAGTGATTTGGAGAGGAAATGTTAGGAGAGTGAATTGAGAAGGTTAATACATAGATTGAATAGAGAAAGAGTTGGAATAGAGAAAGAGTTATAAGTACAATAATAGAGAATATATAATTACTAAAAGTATATTGCTGTTCTGCATAAGAGTACTATCAAACCAATGCATAAACTAATTCTATTTAATGAACGATACCGAGCATCTGTGATTTACCCATTGTGATTTTCATGACAATAAAAGAACATATGTAATTTAAACCTCTGGTTCTCAAACTCAAAAGTTCAATAAACTTATTATACTTGGCAGCACTCATGTCTGAAATACATAATTGGTATTAGGTGATTAATACCTGGTGGCAGCATGTAAAGTGGAAACACTTCCAGAGGGTGAACCTATGTTTAAGGGAGATTAAACAGGGGCACTGGGTGGACATAACAAAGAGGTGGCAGCGAGAAGAGAAAACGACGTGAGCCTTTGTAAGGGCAAAATAAGCAGGGGCCACAAGGGTGAACGCCACAACAATAAGCTATGGTTTGTGTTAACAGTGGTTTATTGCTTAAACCACAAACCATTGGCAGCCAATAAAAAGTTGGCGTGTTCCTGCAATTTTTGCTTTGCTTCTGTATTTTTCCTTTCCTGCTCCTTTTGTGAGTTTTAGTTTCAGAGTTGGCAGCTAAGAAAATAAGCCAAGGAGAGGCTGCAATTGCAAGCTCAGGTGTCACAGGAAGCCATGCATAAGTCAGTCTGTGAATGGAATGGATTTAGATTCTGCTTGAGCCATATTAATCAAGGCCCATTAGCACGGAGCACATTGCAACGAATTAGGTACAACAAACCACACTGTGTTACTTGAGGTGCAAGTGCAATCATCCTTTAGCCTTTACTATATCTGGAATCCAAATTGCAAGTACAGAGCCAATCCAATTGCAAGTACAGAGTTTAGTACCAAAATGTAGATGGAGGAGGGTTGAAGCTGCCGTTATCCATTTGGCCCTTTGACAGACAGAGAGGGAATTTTAGTGATGGAAGCAATCCAGAGATGTAAAAAAAGACATTTGGTTGATTCTTTCTGTGAAATGGATTTCCTTTGGAGCAGAACACTGGTTTTGTGGTTCAGACCTCTCACATCTTCCTTTTGCTAAGGTGTACAGACAAGTTAAGGGACATGGTGGCGCTGCGGATTAAACCGCAGAAGCCTCTGTGCTGCAAGGTCAGAAAACCAGTGGTGTAAGATCAAATCCACGCGACAGAGTGACCTCCCGTTGCTTGTCCCAGCTCCTGCCAACCTAGCAGTTCGAAAGCATGTAGAAATGCGAATAGATAAATAGGTACCACCTCGATGGGAAGGTAACAGTGTTCCTTGTCTAGTCACGCTGGCCACGTGACCACAGAAACTGTCTATGGACAAATGCTGGCTCTACAGCTTGGAGATGGGGATGAGCACTGCACCCTAGAGTTGGACACAACTGGACTAAATGTCAAGGAGAACCTTTACCTTTACTGATAAGTTAATTATCTTTCAATTTGCCTTCTATGCAAAAATTGGCTTGTGGCAGTAGAAAATGGCCACACACTGCAGCTAGTCTTTTTGTGAAGATGTATACAATATTTTCTGACAATTTAAAATATACTCAGTGACCCAGGAGACTTGGGGTCTCTGCTGCAGATGACAAGATAAGAGCCTGTGAGACCCAGTTGAATTAGAAGATGACAAGTTAAGGTCTATGTAGCCATTGTGATTGTGTGGAACTTCACTGATCCTTATCAGGAGCTTTAACTGATACTCTTGTTCCTTTCTTTCTCCGAATGACAGAAATACAGGCACGTGGATAACATCATGTTTGAGAACCATACAATTGCAGATCGCTTCTTGGACTTCTGGAGGAAGACCGGAAACCAGCATTTTGGATACTTATATGGGAGATATACAGAACACAAAGACATCCCTCTGGGTATCCGAGCTGAAGTTGCTGCCATCTATGAACCTCCTCAGGTGACAGAGCCTTCATTTTAAAGTACTGGGGCTTGTTTCATTTAGAAATGTGTTTGGGAAACAGAATATTCCTGTGCATGAAGGGGGGGGTGCTCTCTCTCCTCCCTGTCTTCAGAAAAAATTCACTCAGTCTTCTTTCTCTGAGCAGCATTTTTCAAGATGGCACTTGCCAGGGCGAACAACAAATGGTCTTATTTGGTTTGGAAGATAATTGGAATGACTGGGGACAAAATGAGAGGGTATGAGAGAGTTTAGTGGCAGCTTTTCTTTCTTTTTCTTCCAAGATAGAGCACAAGGTGGCAGCAAATATAAAAAAAGCAAAAGCAAACTGTGCTGTGATTCTGTAGGCAGTTACATTGGAGTAAGCTTCATTGGAATGAGTGGGATGCTCTAAGTAAACAAGTCATTTGTCAGGTGAATCAATGAGTGCCTGCCATTTGCTGTGATAGCAAGCTTGCTTATGGGAACACTGGAGGGGCTGTGTTGAGATTCAAAGTATGTTTCTGATTCATGGCTCAGGTATTACATCCTGTCAAATGAAATTTGTTGGAATAAATTTCAGGAAGGGTTCCTCTCCTCTCCACAGAAGCCAGTTGCTACCACTGCAGGCTTAGCGGTTAACTAAATTCAGACAGGGAACAGAAATACCAACAGTCCTTAGCAGAGAGCAGGCCTGATAGCTTCATTTCAGTTGCTTCATGTACAGTGGTGCTTCGCTTAATGACGATAATCCATTCCAGGAAAATCGCCGTTAAGCAAAAACATCATAATGCGAAAAAACCCCATTGAAACGCATTGAAACCCCTTCAATGCGTTCCAGTGGGGTCAAAACTCACCGTCCAGCAAAGATCCTCCATAGGGCAGCTATTTTCGCTGCCTGTCTTGCGAGGAATCCATCCTAGAAAACAGCGGGGAGCCATTTTGTTTACCCGGCAGCAATTTTGAAACCGCCGAGCAGCTGTTTAAAAAAATGTCGTTTTGCGAAGAATCGGTTCCCTGTTTTGCAAAGCAAAAAAACCCATTTAGACCATCGTTTTGCGATAGCTAAAAGATCGTCGTGATGCGGTTTTGTCATGATGCGGGCCAATCGTAAAGCGAGGCACCACTGTATTGTAAATGAGTGGTAACAAGGCAGTGAGCAGATGACTTGCACATCTTCATTTTGTGCCTATTTTAAAACTTGGAAGACAGAGAGCCCAACTTATAGCTGAGGGGAAGATGGCACGAATTGCCGCTTTATAAGCTAAACAGGGAGCACGGAGAGAAGAAATTAGTGGGCCCCCACCACGTGTGTTACCTGTCTCTGCTTGTTTGTAATGTCTGGAGCTCCTGCCTTGTAGTGATAGATGCAGAATCAGATTGAATGATTTGAGGGTTCATTGGAGAATATTTCAGTCCCAAGAAATTTTTCAGTGTTTTAAAAAAATACCTACTTGCCCAATATTCTACTCTGGTATATCTCCAGTGTCCAAAAACAGACCCAAAGTAGATAATTCCTGGTTCTTTAAATCTCCTGAGCCATCAGTGTCAGGATGGTGTAAAGCAAATGTCTCCTGAGATTCCCCATGCACATTGTGATTATTGTCCACAGAACAGACTTGTAAGGATTCCAATGAAAGTATCGGAGGTGTACCTTAAATATGCTCTCTAAATGCTAAATATTGTATAAAGTGAATTCCTTCCAAGGTGGGTCGGTAAAATGAATACCTATCTTGCTGGGGGAGGGGGCAATGTGTAGCCTGCATAATTAACTTGTAAACCGCCCAGAGAGTGCTTGAAGTGCTATGGGGCAGTATATAAGCAGCACGCTTTGCTTTTACTATTTTATACATCCTTGATTCATCACTTTATGACGAGGCACAGCCAGTCCCGGTTTTATGAAATGCTCATGAATATGATGAATGATTCCCAATACTTCATTGCTACAATAACCATTTCTAAATATGTCCAGTATGTGTGGTATTAAGAGAAGTAATTGTAAGTTTAAGAGTGAAGTGGAAATTTGTTAAAGCTCTGGGGTCATAATAAGTCACTAGATGGCACTAGTTATTGAGTCCTGTATATCCAGGATAAAGCTGAATGCAGTTAATGATATGAATGTTAAGGAAAGCAACAGTTCTAGATTTTAAAGTAGTTGTTTCAGTACAGACTCATTGCTTTATAGGTATCTTCTCAGAAATGGGGTTTCGAGTTGAAGCACAGGAACGGGAAAGGGGCACTGTCTGTTCATAAGGAGTCTAGTGGACTTATAGATGTGTTTTGCAGTTCAGGCAGAACTGCATCAAACTTAACTAGTCTGTATTTAGTTAAAGCAAATTTCATTTTTCTTTATGCAGTGTTAATATAATGGCAAGCAATGGCCAAATATCTAGATCTGAGGCAAAGATTTTTCAGAGCCCTAATTAGAGAATTTCCCAATCAGTTTGAGGCAGGGACGGGAGCAGCTTATTGTCCAGTGTTTGTTTTGCAGTCTGTTCAAATTTTATAAAACTATTTCCATATACTGTGTGTGGCCTGGAAAGTATTGATAGGAAGCCCCTTCTAAAAAGTGTTGGAGAGACTCCTGCAGATTTATCCCATGTGTTTGGCCACTGGATTTGTGGATGTGCATAAATGAATGTGTGTCAGATGGTCTGAGATACACTAGCAGTATTGTTTCATTACAGCACACTGCTCAGTGGCAAGATTTATGACTTTCTGTTAAGTTTTGAAGTAAACTTACATCATCATCTCGTAAATCCTCTGCACACCATGGAGTTAAGTGCTAAAGTGCTTTTGATCTCTTGTCAGTTCATGTGTTTTGATTTGGCATCATGATGTTGTGAGTAGAAATAACCATGCAGAAGTTCTAGAGGATTTATCTCTTGGTTTCTTGGCTCCTATGTGATGTATCAGAGCTACTCTGAAGCTTTTTTAACACAATACAAATTGGTGGTGTCCATAATTGCCCTCAAGATCTGGGATTGGTACCGTATTTGCCGGTGTATAAGACAACCGGGCGTATAAGACGACCCCCCAACATTTCCACTCAGAGTATAGAGTTTGTTATATACTCGCCATATAAGACTACCCCCTCTTCCGCACACCTTCCACACACCAAATAAAAAGTGCTATTCATTGTCACTATTGTACAGCCGCAGCACGACCGCAGCGCCTCCGCCCCGCCCCTGCATCTCCCTGTGACCGGCACAAGTGCGCATGTGTGAGCTCTGCGTAGACAAGGGGCGGGCCGGAGTGCCACTGCTTCCCGCCCAGCAGGACGGGCCGGTCATGTAGAAAAGGCTGGCACCCCTGTCTCGCTGCTGATGCTCGCCGCGGCCGCTTGATACCGCACAATACTGGACGGTATGTAGAATGAGGTGGGCAGGCATCGGGAAGCTACTATGGGCACCGGGCGAGCATTGGAAGGCCACTATGGACAGCTATGTCTATCCCAACTGAAGTGCACCCGGCGTATAGACGGGCTGGTCATGTAGAAAAGGCTGGCACCCCTGTCTCGCTGCTGATGCTCGCCGCGGCCGCTTGATACCGCACAATACTGGACGGTATGTAGAATGAGGTGGGCAGGCATCGGGAAGCTACTATGGGCACCGGGCGAGCATTGGAAGGCCACTATGGACAGCTATGTCTATCCCAACTGAAGTGCACCCGGCGTATAAGACGACCCCCCAACTTGGAGGCATGTTTTTCAGGGCAAAAAAGTAGTCTTATATGCCAGCAAACACTAAATACCATATCACTGTGACTCTTTTAAAAATTACTGAGGCTGGAATTGATGCAAGTTACACTGCTGTCATTGGCAAGAGACAGTGTGTTTTTTTGGCATATTTGTCAGCCCTTCATGGCTCATTTGGTTTTGCCAAACCAAACAACAGTAATTTTTAACACTTAGCAGAATGGAGAAACTCTTGATCAGACTTCCCTGCCAAAAACGGACAATTCCATCCCCAAATGCCTCCAGGGGAGGTGACGCTTGTGTTTAACACTACTCCCACTTCCTTGGACTTAAAATAAGTTTTATTTTTAAAGAACCAGAACCTGCCAAGTGAGATGGTACCTTATTTAATGCATCTGTTTCCCCAATGAGATGTTTAAGATAGAAGATCCAGCAAAGTAAAAATAATCAGAATTGCCAAAGAACAGACTGAGATGCAATTTCATTAGCTGTGAAACAGAATATGAGGTAGAGTGTTTCTGTCCAGCTGAACAGCCTTGGTCTACATGGGTGGCAGAAAGGGGTTGTGGATGTTTGAGGTGACAGAATGGATTATGTCTTCAAAATGCAGAAGAATTTAAAAGCAATTCCCCTCCCCTATGGTCCCTTTCATTAAAAAAAACCAGAAAGCATATACAACAAAGTGTGAGCTGATCTTTCCTGCTGTTAGCTAATTCTTTACTTGCAGAAGAAAATCATTGAAACCAGAACAAAAACCTTGTTTTAAGAAAGAGGCGTGTTGTCTTGTTGAGTGGTACAAAAATGTTGCAAAGAGAAGACTGATTGAAATAATTACATAGAATTATTGAACATCTGTTATTGAAGTTCTCTGTTTCCAGTCAAATAAGATTGGAGGTAAGGAACAAGATTAAAAAATGAGGCAGCAAGTTGAGAAGAAGGGGCAGGAGGGCAAAAAATCTGTGATTTTGAGACAAATAGTCAAAAGGTTGGGCGTGTCAATTTAATGGCAGCTTGCAACATATTTAATGTTCAACCATCTCATTCCTGGATATCCAGTGTTAGGCCTGTGTACTTTGTGTTAATGTGGGGAAAAACTAATGTTCAAACTATGATGATAAGGTTGCTAATGTTGGCGTAAGAAATTTTATATGATTACCAAGTAATAAAAATCAGAATCTGTTTTGTAAAATTGTAAAAATCACTCATTTCTACATTAGAGGATTTCAAAATCACTGACAGAGCTGTAGATTCCTGGCAGTAATGAATAATTCTAGTTAGGAAGTCTGGCACATTGTTAGTTCTAATTAAATCTTATGTAGAAACAGTAGTGAAGCTGCCTTCTGTGTCAGTTCCCATTCTCTTGTCATTGTCCATGTTATTATTGAAAATGAGACATTTTGGGTTTTTTTATGTTGCTAAATATTGGTCAAACCTCTATTGCTTAGCCTAGTAAGTTGCACCCAAGTAGGCCCATTGACTCAATGGGGATTTGGTGAGTCAACTCCTCCATAATCTCTATTTATTCCAATGGGCCTACTCTAGTTGTGTCATACTTGAGCACAATAAATTGCAGGTAGAATAGACCATTTAAATCAGTGGAATTTACAGAGAAGTTGACTCAGCACATTCCCATTGCAATTTACTGCACTAAGCAACAGGATTTGGGCCATTCAGTTCAGTGAGTAAACTAGCCCTCTAACATCTTTCTCTTCTTTTTAGATTGGTACGCAAAACAGTTTGGAACTCCTGGAAGACTCAAAAGCAGAGATTGTGGATGAGATTGCTGCCAAGCTTGGCCTGAGAAAGGTATCAAAACATGTTTGAGAGATCCTAGGTAGAAAAATCCTTTGTATTGGGGTGGAAAGAATCTCATGGGGCACCAGTATTCTTCAGTTATGTGACTGTTAAATTGGAATTAGTGAATTTTGTGTAACTGGTGGTACTTTGGCACAGGCTGAATTGGTGATTTTGTGGCTTGTTCAGGCCTTTTTCATCACACTGTTTGCTCTTGTACCAATGCAGAAAAGGATGGCAAACTGTGCAGTACTGCTACTGCTGTATTGAAAGACGAGTTGGATCTATAGATTTAAAGGTTGCTTTTCCTACTTCTAAAGAATATGGGGAGCAAAGCATACTTGCAGATCAGCATGCCCCCCCACTTGCCTCAGCATTCAATTTCTTTCTTTTGCATTATCTCATTTATGTTGCTCTTAAACACTGATGTTCCCAGTCTCTTTTTATGTCCTTCTTTGTGTGCAAGTGTTTTTCTGGATTCCACATGTTGGCAAAAGAAAGGGGAGGGGCAGCACCAAATATTTTAACTCTTTAAAGATTAACACTCCTATTTCAGTGTCAACCTTCGTGGATTAAAGTGCACTTCTTCAGACACTGGGGTGTGAGTACATGGCCAATATATGTACATTTTCCTATGAGCAAATGAGAACACAGATAATAGATAAAGTAACAATGGTTCATTAAATACAGGGAATGGGACTATCAGACTGTAAATTACTTCACTTAGCAGATTGAATTAACTGAAGTAATTTACAGCTTGATAGTCCCATTCCTTTGTTAAGGAACCACAATTACTTGGTTTATTATCCGAATCCTTACTTGGTCTTTGGGACAAGGTCCCCTCCAAGATGTGCAACTACACAAGTGTGCATGCCTCCACCCTCCCTCCACACAGCTTTCCTCTTCCTCCACACACCCACAGCGGTCCTTTCCGGGCCCTTTTTGTTCTGGGCACAGTTGAACCTCGCAGGTGGGTGGAGTCACACACACACAATGTGGTGTGTGTGTCTGTGTGTGTCTGTGTGTGTCTGTGTGTGTGTACTTCCACCCACTGGGGCTGAAGATTAGAGTGAATATTCCTTAGGGAAATTTATAAATATACCAGTTGTATTTATATTCCACTGTCTCATGAAGTGGTTTTTGACCTGTGAAAGCTCACATTGAAATAAAATTGCTGCTCTTTAAAGTGCTACAATCATTTATGTTGTTCTTTTTTCCTCCCTTTTTTTCCATTTCTTTTGCTAATGTGCTGAGACAGACTAACATGGGTACATCTTTGGAAACTGGCAAAATTTAACTTTGTTTTCTCCAGATCTATTCAGAACTAATAGCATTGTGGGGTGATATAGTTAGAGCACAGTAATTTTGCCAATGGCATAAAAAAGTGGATGCATTTACAGTCACAAATCATTTGACATTCCAACAGCTGCATCTCAGCTGCGTGTTATGAAAATGAGCAGAATGGGACTCTTGGATGAACACCTTAACCCTTACCCAGCTTTGCTTTTCTGATGCAACTCAGTAAAACAGATTTCAACTCTTGGATCTTGATTTTCCTTTGTCTCCAAACTGTCAGTAATTTAAAAGACATGTTGATTGTGATACCATTTTTATGCAGATGCCTTATGGATCCATATTTTTGCTTTCATTAAGACATTGCTTGCATTGACAAAATTAAGGAGGAAAGTGCCTTGATTTCATCCCACTCCCTGAAAAGATATTACCAAGCCTTATATTAGTAGTAGTAATCAACTGGTATTTATTTATACAAATCATCTGTCTGAGACACAATTTTGAGTATTTTACAGTAGTTTTCCTAAGTTTATTCTGTATTACAAGTAACCACTGGTCATTTCCTATCTGAAGATTACAGTTGCAAGTAACAGAAGCATTTCCTGGATGTGCAAAGGTTGAGCTGCCGGTGGGGAGATATTTAAATATGCATTCATATTTCAAAAAGCCTTAGGAAAAATAATTCAGTGGGATGCAGGAATATCAGCATGATAAGATGAGGTTCAAGGAAGATGAGGTCTGAGTGGGAGCTTATTTCATTTTTTAATTAATGTGCACGGAAACATGAGGTTTTAAGAGCATATCTGTGAGAACTGTGCCTGACTTGTGTGAACAGAGAAAAGCAAATGTCTTGGGGGGGGCTCTGCAATCTCAGTCTAGATCTTTCTGTGAGGGGACTTAAAGCTGTGGGTTTCACCAGTTGGCAGTGCAAATATGTGAACTGTATTCAAATGAGTTCTGCAGAGCTGCAGAGACATTTCCTCAAGGCTGCTGCTAAGGAGGCCTTTTCAAAGAGATTCATCTAGCCAAGAACATTTTGTACTGGTGGGGAAGGGCAGCTTTTTAAAGCGAGCCAGAGTGACAACAGTGTTGTGTTTTTAAGGTTGGCTGGATATTCACTGATCTGGTCTCCGAGGACACACGGAAGGGGACTGTCCGGTACAGCCGGAACAAGGTGAGATACAATAAGTTTTAGCCCTATTCTTTTCCTATGTGCTATTTTTAGTTTCATCATAAACACAAGCTTTGCCAAATATAAAGGATCTGAAAAGACAAGAGTATGTGGACTTGAGTCTTGGTGTTAGGGATGTATCTTGTTTAGAATAACCTATGCATCCAGTGGGCATTTAGACATTTTGTGGTCATGGAGTTTTGTGTGGGTGGGATGTGAAGTGGCTTGGAGTCTGTTTGATGCTTAGATACTTGGCAAAGGTGCCCTATAAAGTAATGACATCATTTCCTTTTCCTTAAATAGAATTTCTCTAATACTCTTCTTGGTGTGCTTTTTATGGGTCCAGTGAGTGTTCCTTTGTAACTTGTTCTATTACAAAGTGTCTAGCTAAACTTATAAGAATACTTCTCTATACCTCCCTTACTCTTTTATTTGCTCCTCCTCTTCTGGGTAGCGAAAGCAAGTTTTTGCTCTGCCTTTTGTTCTCTGTTTATCTAGCATATAGAAGCACCCTACATTCATAAAAATGGGTTAGTGTTCTCCTGTGCCTGCTGCACTTTAACATCTCTCTAGTTTTTCCATTTATCCTTTTGCATCCTGTATGTGGCCTTCCTGCCATATTCATTGCATAGCCCTGAGACTTCTACACATTTACACTGAAGTCTCTCAAGTAGAGACTGTTCTGGGTTCATAACCAAACATCATAGTTTAATTTTTTCCCATCACTTCTAAAGAGCTTGGAGAAATGTATACAGAATCTACAGTCATCCATACATCCATATTGTGCCATTGCATTCTTTGTTTTATAGGAGTCGCACACATTGTTGAAATTAACCTTTTCTGGTAAAGTCATTGACTGGGTTCCCCTTCATCCCACTCCTTCTGCCACTTTGCCTTCTTTACATCTACCAGATGTGAGCAGACTTTAGGAAGACTTTAGATCATCTGTGGCATTCAGGAAACCTTTCTCCTCAGCTTGTGATTCTAGATTCTTAGCAATCTAAACTTCCATGAATCTTTAAAACAATAAATGTTGAGTTGTCTTGCCTTTGGAGATTGATCATAAAACAGGGACTGAAAGCTTCAGCCACCAGAAGTCAAATAAATAGCCTGATTTATTTCTCTTGTTAAAAAAAATCTCCTTTCCAATCTTAGTTTAGTCAGAAAGTTAGATGGCTTGCTGAAACTAAAACTTTTCAGGGAGCATAGGACCTGATTGTAGAGTATGTAGAAAAAAAACCAAACTACTTAAACGGATGCTTTCATTTTTCCTGCAGAAAACGATTAAGATAAATAAATGGCATTGTAAGTCAATGGCTTGAGCAATGTATACCTGAAAGCTGTGCAGGCTGTTTAGTGCTTTGTATTGTGATTTGTCAGCATAATTATCTGTGCTAGACCTTGAATATGTGCTCCATTTTAGTATGTACTACCAGGTTCAGTATATTGCATCTTCTCTTACCATGGTCATTTCTCTGCCCTTTTTAGGACGCATATTTTCTAAGTGCAGAAGAGTGCATCACAGCTGGGCATTTTCAGAATCAGCATCCCAACATATGCCGCCTTTCTCCAGATGGTCACTTTGGATCTAAGTTTGTCACTGTGGTGGCTACAGGTAAAATATAATGCTGGCTGTTTCTCTGTTGAATAAAAAGGATTTTTCCCCTCCTGGGGAAAAGGACAAAGATTTTCAGAAACTAGGATAGCTTGTATGAAAGGCTGCCTTTTGCTCCATATTCTAGCATGTTCCTTTCAAAGTTTTGCTGCATTGGTAGCAATAGCACCAATATATTCAATTCATATATCACTGCTGGCTTCCTCCTTTTCTCTCAGATTTCACATAGTTTGAACTGGTCAGACTCTGGTAAGCACTGACCTCATATCATAAATGGAACTCTTCGGTTGCAAGTCTTGGTTTGGAGGAGGGCAATTTTGGTTTGAGCTAACCATAGTTTGTCTGAACAGGCTGTTACAGTAAAATATAATTAAGTAAATGGGAAAAGGAAGGGAGAAATTAGTATGTGAAAAGTGGAGCAAAATGTAAAAGCCTGCTGTACATTCCTTTTCCTCCAAATGATGATTTGAAAGTTCAGGAATGTGACATTTGAACTGAACTTAGAAAGGCCAAAGCTCTGCATGATTATGATGATTACTATTTTAATAACTTTGACTTTGAACTGCTTATGGTTGAGGAGATGAGGTGAAAGTACTAAGTGACACACCAGTTTATAGCCTGTTAAAGAAAATCTGGTTAGAAGCCATGAAAGTTTGCTCTTTTTATTTGATTTATATTCCAGATTTCTTTCAAAACCAGTACTCAGAGTGGTTGATAAAAACACAAAAAAATTGCAAATAACAAAACAAGAAATCACCATATTAAAGCACAATTAAACAAATTACAGTATGAAAACACAGTTGAATTGACTGTTTGAGGGAAGCTGTTACGTCTTGAGTAGAGATGATACTTCTGTGAATATTCAGAGAAAGAATCCCACCCCACAAATAAGACATAACCAAATGGAAACAGAAGCCCCAGACTAAATAACATGGACCTGTACTCTCATGTGTTGCATAATCATCAGGGAGTGATCACATAAGCAGTTCCCACACTCTGGCAAGTTCTCTTTTGCATGCCTAGTCTTGCACAGCCAGCTGTACGATCCCTTGCACAACGGAGTCTGCTGGAGTTGGGGAAAGCTTACACTGTTTTCCTTACGCTCCAAAGAAGATCCTGGCCATGGACAGTAGTGCCTTGCCCAGTGGCTTAGCCCAAGTGCATGCGAACTGTTAGTATTTAGTCTTTTGCACTACTTCAGGCTGAATACAGTGCTGGAGCCTATTGTAGTAAATTGCTGCTCCATATGGAGGAGGAGGAGTTAATTCTGGCCAACCTCACACTCTTCAGCAATCTGCCCATATTGTCTCCCAAGAGTATTCCAGCCCACATGCATTGGGTTTAGGGGGTGCCAGAGACTGTGGAATAAAAGTTGAAGTGGGAAAGTTGTGTTCTGTTTAGAGGAGTTAGGATCTTTGCTTTAACTTTTTAAAGGCTTGTGCAGTGGCTGTGTATTTCTTTTGATCTCATAAAGTTAGGTCCTTCATGGTTTCTATCAACATAGCATTTTCACTCAGCATCATAGTGACCCCATTATGATAGCATTAATAGTGAGTATGTTGATGGAAGACTAAGTCTGTTGCTTGAAACATTTGCTGCTGTTTCAAGCAAATGAAAGCTGGACCTTGCCTATTCTCTCCTTATACAGTATCTTGGTGAGTTAAAGTACTTAACTCTTTTCTTTTGTTTTGAGACTTCTCTTTAAGGAAGCAGGGCGCAAACAGAGATTGCCGTTTTAGTACCTGAACAAACAGGTTGCTCCAGCTCCTGGCGTGATAGTTAATCTACATGACCTCTGGATTGGAAATGCAGGATATTTAGTACAGATGAGAGTATCCCCAACTATTGCAGGGAGAGGAAGCAAAGGAAGGAATTATTTGACCTTTTCCCAAGTCCCTGGCACATTTCTGCTAGAGTCCTGCCTTGCTCACTTTTGTCTTGCCCTCTTCCTCTCACCGAGTGGATTGAAAGCTGGCTATAGGACAGTGAGAACTGGGAAGCGCCCCTTTGTGAGAGTGGAATGAAATAAAAGGCTTCGGTTGTCTCCTGGTTTACTTTTTCCTCTTAAGGCAAATTCACAGAAGTCTTTTCACTTGAATGAAAGTTCCATAGTCTGCCACACTGAACCATGCTATGTTTCTGGATCAGTGGCCTGCCAGAAACAGACTTGATGATAATAATTCAACTGTGAATTGAAAGCCGTCGTATATATTTTCATCAGTCTTCATGCAAGTCAGATAATTCCTTACATGAGTGCCCTGTCGGGCCATTCTCCAAATGGAGAAACGGTGGTGGGAAGATGTACTAGCCCTGGGCCCACTGCTGTTGCTCTTCATATGAAGAGCAGCAGTCTGAAGAGGGTAGCCTTTTTTGTTGAGGCTGTCCACATGATCCAGACCCTCGGGGAAATCTGCATTCCAGATTATGTGGAGAACTGCCACAGATAGAGTAAAAGACACAGTCCATGCAGACCAAAACAACTATTTCATGCTGTCAGACTGGTGCAAACCTGGTAAACTATTTATGCAACCGGATAAGACAAGAGAGAGTATGCATGTCCAGTACACTGTATTCAGCGATATATGAGACTTTAAAAGACCCTTTGTCTGGGTACTTAGTCTGTAAGCTAAAACTGGACTTGAGAAACTGTCTGCTGTGGCTGAGCTAGAAGTTATGAATATGATACAGTGCTGCCTAATGAAGGAATCTGCTCCTCAGCATTTGTATTTTTATTGACATCAGAGCAACTTCAAGTATGGGGCATCTTGTGGCCATCCATCTTCTTCCTTCATTACCATGCAAAGTTATTTTGTTGTTTTACTCCAGAAGTGGCCAATTAATTTTTATTATTTTAAAGAAAACAACATGTTGTATGGGGCTGAGATTTGAGGTAATTTTTGGACATTCTCCAGATAAGTTCATGAGAAACATTCTTGGACTTCATCCTAATATATTCTTGGCCTGCTTTATGGGCAGAATTTGGATTGTCATCAGTGGCTTACTGGGATTGATCTGATGCACTAATATTGGTTGAGGCTGAACAGGATAAACTCTTAGTTACTGATTTGAGTGATTTGAGGTTTGGCCTAATACTATCTCAGCAGGAGTGGGAATCCTGGGGGCCATGGACGGCATGCAGCTGTCCAAACCAATTTTAATATAGTCTGTCCAGGGAGATCTTACTGTCCGGTGGATGTCATTTTATCCTATGCAAAAGTTTTTTTAAAAAGTTTTTTTAAAATATATGCAAATATAGGAGAATTAGTAATAATTTTTCTCACCTTAGTTGGTTATTATTATTTTCAAAGAATCACTGGTCCGCAGATGTAAAGAACTTTGACCGAACTTTCATTTCAGGTTATTTCCTCTAGTTATAGCAGGAAGAAATATGTGGGTTTACCCCCATTTAAACAGACCTGTGTTGACTGCTTTGGTCAGGTTGAGGGCCCTGCTGTTAAGTGTCCTCTGTATACAACTTAGGCAGTTTGTAGATCATTATCCAGCATGTTAATAGTTTCTTGTTAAACCCATTTAAACAGACCTGTGTTGACTGCTTTGGTCAGGTTGAGGGCCCTGCTGTTAAGTGTCCTCTGTATACAACTTAGGCAGTTTGTAGATCATTATCCAGCATGTTAATAGTTTCTTGTTAAAGATATTATAATGTAACTTTCATGTGATGGTCAATCTTTTGTTTCATGGTAGCTCCAGTTGCTACAAGTGCAAAGAAATTATGCACTTGTTTTGTGAGAAGTATCCTGCTGCCTTTATTTTAACTTTCGTTTTCCATTGTGATTCTGCTCTCATAGCTTATGGCTCCACCTAAATGATTGTGCAAATACCTATCAGCCACTAAAAGTGAGTATCTTTTTTTCCCCAGGGGGCCCTGATAACCAAGTCCACTTTGAGGGCTACCAGGTATCTAACCAGTGCATGGCTCTAGTGCGCGATGAGTGCCTGTTGCCGTGCCGTGATGCTCCAGAACTTGGCTATGCAAAGGAATCCAGCAGTGAACAATATGTGCCTGATGTCTTCTATAAGGCAAGTATTGATATCCTCCATCTCCCTTGGCATATGGTTCTGCAGAAATGGCACTTAAGGAGGGGTGTGTGATTCAGTCTGTGCTGTGTGTGCACTTCTCTGTGGGAATGAAAGAGTACTTGCAAGCCATGTACAATTGCTCATCTCATACTTGAGGGCTGAAGGTTTCTCTTTGCCGGCAGAGAGCGAAATTAACCCTTAATTGGAAAGTCTGGGATAACTGGCTGCTGAAAGTTTAAGCCAAGCATTTATTCTGCTTGCGCTAGATTTCAAAGTAACAAGCATGCTTCCTTTGTTTAACTTCCCTCTCTGCCTTAATAGCAGCACAGATGTCTGCCCTTGTCTTTGCATGGGCACCATGCCATGTTAACGTCTTCTGCCCTGGTTTTTGAGATAATCTGTCTAGCCAACCTTCTGCACTGGAACATAATGCCACTGAGTGTCTCCTGCCTACACTGCGACAGACAACCTATGAAGTTTTTTTCACCATAATGCATTCTATAGGTCAACTACCTGCATCTACAGAGCTTCATAATTTAGGATTTCCATCCTTAAGATACTAATGTTTTGTTGTTGCCTCTTTGAATCCTTGCCAAAGAGTTTGAACCTTGGAGTGTTGGGGGCAGGTGGGGTGATTGAAGGGATGTTACTATAACCTGCATATTGGAAATTGGATTGTGCAACTTGTAAACCTAATCTAAAAATGATAGATTAACAGTATGTATAGAAAAGCTGGCTAGGTAGCTCAGTGAGTAAGATTTCTGACTGTGGAGCCAAAGGTTGGGAGTTTGATTCCCCACTATGACTCCTAGGGGAAAAGCCAGCCTGTGTGGCCTTGGGCAAGCTACATAGTCCCAGGAGGCCCCCAAAAGAAGGGAATGGCAAACCACATTTGAATAATCTACCTGGAAAACCTAGAAAATGGGTCGCTATAAATCAGGATTGACTTGAAGACACAGAATTATTATCTATAGAAATACATACTTGCAATCCTTTCTTGTATGAGTAGATGCACTCCTTCCATCATCAAGATCATTCAGGATTTCATTGTGAAGTGTAGGATGCACTACTTTGTGCCCCCTCATCAGGGTAGCAGAGGTAGCTACCCATCAGTTGACATTTAATCTCTGGATGAGGTTTGCTTTTGCATTTAGTGAGATGTTCAATGAACCAAAATGATGCAGCATTAAGAGCTGCAGGCTTTTGTCAACCAGGGAGAATAGGTTTGTTGCATGAAATATGTTTATAAGATGCCTAGTGAGCAGCTACAGAGTCAAAAGTGTGAAAATGAAAAGCAAGGATTTAGAGAACCCCAAATGTGAGAGTAGATTTTGTGTGTGGGGGGCGGTCATGACAAGGGGCAGTGACTGTGAAAATTCTGTAAGACAAGACAGTTATACAACTAAAAATTTTAGACATTTGTGATGATAATGTTAATGCATTTTTCTGTAACAAATAATCAACATTTTTCTTTCTTTCTTTTGGATATTTTCTTTGTTGCAATAATTGCCAAGATGTCTACCTTACTGTTGTAAGCCGGGTAGTGTGGGCAGCATATAAGTTAAATGCATTTTTCTTTCTTTCGCTTGGATATTTTCTTTGTTGCAGTAATTGCCAAGATATCTACCTTATTGTTGTAAGCCGCCCAGAGACCTTTGGGTAGTGTGGGCAGCATATAAGTTAAATAAATAATAAATATGTTACAGTTCAAAGATTAGAAAATAGGAAATATTTTCTTTAGTTTTACTTTTGTATGTGCTTTCTAAACCAGAATATTTTGAAGCAGGCTTCCGAAACTAACATGCAATGAGAAAAATCTCTTTTTGGAAATTATTCCTTTTCTTCTCAGAACAAATACATCCCTACAGTGTCAGAATTTGACCATTTGTAATTAGTGGGTTTAGCTCTCATTAATACAGAGTGTTCTTGATGCAGAAATAGTGCCTCTCCAAAGGGAGGACTGCTTAGGGTTCAGCTACTATTTACATTTGTTTGTTCAATAAGAAGCCATCAAATGTAGAATTTCCTTTTCAATTCTTTAACTGTCTGCAAATATTTTTTAATAGTAAAGTACAGCTCAAAATAATACTGTTTCTCAGATGTTTAGTCCTCTGGAATGCAAGCTTTCCAAGCTTGCCATCACCTGGAATAACTGGATGGAGTATTTTCTTAAGTTGGAACAATGAAACCAAAATGGAAAACGACAAAATGATTTGAGATTGAAACTTTTTTTCATCATGAGCTTTTGTGGATTGCAGTCCAATTCTTCAGCCACAGGACTCAATATTGTATATAGATCACAGGTTTAATCTGGTCTGGTCTGCTGTACTTTGACATTACAGACTAATGTCTAAATACTGCTTTGGCTATTAACAGTGTCATAAGAATGCATTTTGACGTGGTTGCATTTCTCTAAAATAACTTTTAACTGCATTGGGAACAGAATGTACTTGTAGAAAGATGAATTGGGTGACTTTCCTTTGTTCCTAATGTGTTCATTTTATTAGTCACTAGAAGCCAGGAACTGTCGTCGTATCAGGTAGTGCAAACAGTTTCTTTCCAACCTAGACTTTTAGATTCAGCCATGCTGAATCTCTCCACATCTCTCTTTGCAGTTGAGTATCACCCTACCACTGTCCACACTTGCATTCTGCTGCACTCATTCTGTTTACATTAAGCACAGCTAAGAAACCAAACTGGGGACTTTATTAACCATTAGGCCATTTCTAATTTTTTTTTTACATTTTCCTTTTTTGAGAACTTTTCCAAAACTGAGGAACACATTGGGTCCATATTACAGATTTAGATAAAAGGACTGCTGCTGTGCAGTGTTTGTCTTTTATATGTCTGGAACAGGAAGAAGCTAATGAGCTACTTAGGCTAAATTATTTATTGGGATAAAGACTTCCAACATTTGGACACTTGGCAGCTTTTCTACTATAGACTCTCATAACTACTCTTCTACAAAATAAGAAAAGCTCTACATGTGGGAAACATGGAGAGTAAGTAGGAGTAGGGGTAGCACTTACATGAAAGAGCTTTTAGAAATGTGTTGGATATGCCCCAAGAAGCCAATGTTTGTGTAATGTGGAGTGCATTTATCTCCCAGCGTTAGCAGCAGTTTAAATAGAGCAGAAGCCATCGAACCTCTCTGTTGCCTCACTGGGTAGGAGAACAGATGCTCTTTAAGCTCCTGCAGTCAGAGAGAAGGTGTTGTATGTAAAATGAGCGGGATTTGAAGTGGTGCCTGTACAGAACTTGCTCATTGCATGAGGTATGTGGTCTGGGTAGTTGTTTCTTTACTTTTGGAAAGCAATTTCTGAATTAGTATTGCTGCACAAATAGAAACCCATATTGAGATCAAAGCCACACAGCTGGGAAAAATTGCAGAGAGTATTATTGGTGTCAGGGGCCTCAATGAGTGAAGAGGTGCTTTAAAGGGAAAATAACAGGCCTCTATTCCCTCAAGCCACGATTGTGTGGTGTGCATGAGTGCTTGTTTGTGGGACTGGTCCGGAGGTTGTTGCACCCATGACAGCATGTTTCAGCCATTGCTGGTTCCCGTGAGAACAAGGATGACTCATCCATGCCTTAAATATCACAAAAACAGGAAAACCAACAGAACCAAGGTTTGCTCTAGCTTTATAAATCCACACATTTTCCTCAGGCCTTTGGCAATACAAACCTTTTATGTCTTTACCAATCTCTTTATCTTGGCCCCTTTAAAGACCATGTCAGCATTGGCAGCAGAGCTACTGACCTGAATCAGATTCTCAGATCTGTCTGGTGTAAAGGGCTGGAGGTTTACAGTGGTATAAAGATGAGGAGATTACAGAATCAGATTGAAAGTAGTAGTTCTAAGTAGTTGTTCTTACTGTAGCCAGTCGAAGGGGAATGAACCCCTTAAGGAATAGAGAAAGTTCAGCTGGCTGTCACAGTAAGACTTGTTTTTATATCAGTATCAGTCAAACATTGTCCAAGTCTAAGCAATCCTTAAAATGTTTCTTCATTCTTCAACAGTATATGTGCAGGCAGACTATTTGTTATTTCATTTAGTAGTAGAACCAACAATATTAGGTTAACATTTTCTATAGAGAAATAGCTAATACTCTAGTTTTCAAGAATGTAGAAGTGATTTCTGGGATTTAATTAGGAGATTCTTCTTTCCCACCTGAACTTCCCATCTCTCACCTTAGCTAGTCTTTTCTGTTTCTATGTCATTCAAGCAAGGTGATGTATCTTATCCTCATGAGACTGATAGTCTCAAGAAGAGAACTTCCAAGCTGGATAACACCTTGATTTATTTGAAGCTCTCTGTCCAAATATCAGTGAGAGCCAGCATGGTGTAGTGGATAGAATCATGGACTGGGCCATGGAAACGCACCATTGGATGGCAATGGTAAAACAGCTCCTTAGCTATCTCGCATACCTTGGAAACCCTGGATGCAACTTGATGGCACAAAGCAACAATACCCTAGTCTCCACCACTGGATTCTAATGTTTCCAGCAGTGTGGATTTGATTCAAATCATAAGTTAATTTTTTTAAAAATGGATGTTTGACATTTTTTAAAAAATGTACATCATTGATTTTTATCCCTTTGGTTTCCAGCACACCACTGGTGGAGACTTAAGGTTTTATAGAATGGGAGGGGGGGAGAACCTCTTTAACAGACAGATGTTCTTTATACATTTAACCTTGCACTAAGTTGTCCTTTCCAAAAGTATGTTGGCATTAGTTATGATAGCACAGGCAGAAATCATTGGAAGCTGTGCTGAACACCTAAAATTTGGCATACACTTCAGTTTGTAATTTATATTTGTGGTGAGCAGTTCTCCATTTTGTCTTTCTGGGTGTTAAAACCACCTCCTTTTCTTCCTGAAGCAGCATTCAGCTAATCTGCCAAGTTTGACTTTCTATTATCTAGCTGTCATCTTATTGGGCACCCCTGTGAGTCTCAGGCTGTGGTGTACTCTTGAAGCTGGTTGCAGCACTGCAGGA